AGCACTTGGCACACCCAGCATGGAGATAAGGCACCTAGGGAGAACCTGAGAGTCCAGACTGAACAGGAATTACTGACAAGGGCAGGATTGTCAGCAAAAGGGACTGATGTGGTGAGCAGCTGTGCCAAGAATCTGCACCTCACTGTGGATTTATCTGATGTTTGATAGAGAGAGGTAGGAACAGAAGATGCCACTTCCACATCATGGAGCCTTTTCTGTGGGGCCAATGCCCAACTCTGTGGTGTTCGTACAAGTTGGACTCTTGCGTTTCTCTTTTTTATGTAATGGTTCTGCCCTGGTTCTCTCCTCCCTCCTTTGTGCTGCCAGTTATCCCAACTCCTCCCCAGTTGCCTTGGAGACTAATATATTCTTTCTCAAATCCCTCCCCAGTGCCCTGTCCGTCACTCAGTGCTCCCACGCTTCTCTCTAGAGACTTCCAGCTAGAGCGTTGAGTGATTGGCTCAGGGGCCGGGGCCCCACCCTCAAGTTATCCCCATTGGGGTTTTCCAAGTCAATCCTTTGTATCCCACGCCCCTCTAAAACTCGATTCTCCAGAGGATCGACTCCTCCCCTGTCTCCCTCCTTCCTTATAAGCTGTTGCAGCCGCCCTGACTTTCTCTGGCCTTTGGTTCTGCTGGGACCCAGAGAACCTGGGTTCACCTCAGCTGGAGAGTGCTCTCTTCTTCTGCTGACTGCAGCCACAAGCCCAGCCACGAGTGTTTGCCTGAGGTGCTGTCCCAAACCACGGAGATCAGGATAATGCTCTCCAACTGCCAGCGGTGCTGGATAGCCAGTTGGGACGTCCGAGAGGGACAATCCTTCCCCAGCCTGACCGTGTCACAACTCTCATTTCATCTGCTTCCAGCCAGCTCCTGCCATGTGCAAAGCTGAGCCAAAGAGAGATTTTGGCCTCTGTTGGCAGGCTATGGGTTCAAGGGCTGCCTGTGTTCAGCCTGGTATGGTCCCACATGCAGCCAATTCCTCAGAGAGTCCACTGATGAGGCGATAATCCCCCACGACTAAACCTACCATGTCTAGAAGAACAAAATGCTTCCTACAAGTAGTAAGGAAAGGAGGAAACCCTGCAAAAATTCCATAAGAAAAGCTTAGGGGACAAAAGGCCCAAGAAAGAAAACCATGTCTAGTATGTGGAGCTGCTTGGCCAAGTCGAAAAGCAGGGCACATGTTTTTCCTCTCTGGATGATCACACTTCATGGTTAATGAATTTACTTTCCCCACAAAAGTCCTCAAAATAAACTGGGAAAAGGGAACACAGAGCACAATGACACAGGTGTGAGTACAGGATGGCACGTGGATTGACACCACAGTGCCGCTGGTCCAGCACAGAGAACCCAGCATGTCTCCCTGCTACAAACACAACACTTAGCACAAAGGTCAAGTAAAATCAGACAGAAAAAAAGGTACTGAAAGTAATGAGCAGGATGTAATTAAACCACAACCAAGTTTAATTAAAATGTAGTAAACAGGGATCAAATACAGTCTAATGAAACTGGGACATCACACATGCCCACGAGAAAAAAATGTGAGTTGAGAGACAGGGCAGAAAACCCCCCACCACCTTTCCTGTGTTGTGCTTAGATGAAGAGGACAGACTGGTCAGAAAATCACATTTCCAAGCAGAACTCCCTTCCTGGAGAACAGAAGTCAGTCACTTGCTTAAAAAGAATTTCTGAGACCTGTTCCCAAGTCTGCCATATTTTGGGGGACCTCTCCTTCATGGGACAAGCACTGGTTTCCAGACCAGGAGATTCCCTGAGCAGGTCCTCGCATGGACAGACACAATGCCATTGTTACAGAGGAGCAGAGGGAGTTTCTCTGCATCTCCCAGCAGGTGCCTCTTGAAGCACAGCACAGGGTCCTCTCTACATTACAAAGGTCTGGGCACAGGACCCTCACCCAGGGCAGATGCTCCTCCCCATTGATAGTGAAGGTCAGGCTTTTGGCTTCAGTTCTATGTGGCTGCAGGAGATGCACAGAAATAATTTCAGCTGGCACTAACCCACTTCCCACCAGGCAAGCAATGCACCAAAACACCCACTGTGTTTTCCCTGGTGGGTGCTGCTGTACCCCACAACAAAGCCTCCCTTCACCCCTCTCCATCCCAGTTCATTTAGGGCCATTCACAAGAGGAATCTGCTTCAAAGAGACACAGCTTTCCAGAATAACACTTTAAAATCATTTCACTTAATTGAATCATGCAGTACAGCAGGTAAACAATGAGGCACCAGATGAGACATGGCAAATCCCCTGGCTGCACTGAGATGAACTTATGCAACAAGCAAAAGCACAGCATGAAGGCAGTACAAAAGCAAGAAGGCAAAAATAAATCAACACCACCATCAGTAAAGATTATTTCCAAGGACATTTTAAAAGGAAGTGCTTATTGGCACAGAAAACTGACTTCCCTTGCTCCAATTCAGCCACTAAAAGGCTGGGGAAGGCCAGGTCACAGTTCCACTACAGAGGTCTCAGGGCAGAACAACTGGGCTTCTCTGGGATGACAGCTCCAACCACTCCCTTAGCATAAAATAGCTTAATGCACCCCAGGGAATTACCCAGGATCATCTCATTTTACAGAATACAGGAGGAAATAAGGACTGCTGACTTGCTGGCACAGAAACTGCTTCATCTAAGCCCCTGTCCTTGGAAAGCCCCAGCTCAGCTGTAGCACATATCAAACACTTCCAGTTGGCTTCCTAATGTTGCCCTGTCTTTATAGTGATTTAGACAGGCTAAACTATCATCCTCATTTTTCTGCTCTGCTCTATTAAACAGCAACTACTGCCTCACAGACCATCTCATGCCAAGCCCTCTGACATTTTGCTTACAAATTAAAAAACAGTCTCATGTCTAAAACCACCCTCACTTACTTTAGAAAGTGACTCAGGAAGGGTGGAGAGGGCATTCAGGATTGCTCAGCCACAGTGACCTGCTCTCCCACCTGCAGACCCATTTCCAGATGGGTCTCATCAAATTCCAACAAGTTTTTTTGTGTGCCCCTTCTTGGTGCACAGCACCTTCATGAGCAGACCCTGGGATGCAGACAAAAGTTGCCAAAAGCAGGTGGAAGGAGGTGGAGAAGAAAGAGCAGAGCTGCTGGCTCTGCTTGGAGGTCCCTGTTATCTTCTGCCAAATTAGATTAGGGTTTAATTACAACCTAAAGGGGAAATCTAATTTTTAGGCTAGAACAATGCATATGTTTTTCAATAACAGAGAAATAAGCACATTCCAGTGAACTCTGTGAGGAATTAATTTCCTCTGGGGCCACTTGTTGGCCATTTGCCTGTTTCTCTGTATTCCTGTTTTTTTTAGAACCAGTTTAGGCTTTTGGAAATGGGAATGCTGAATCAGTGTTCAGCTTTTAATCAGCCCATCTCCCCCTCAATTGGCTTTGCTGGACCTGAGCCTGCAGGCACTTGCTCCTCCTGATGCTGAGTCACCTGAGTCTGAGGAGCTGGTGGCAGTGAGGGTCCCAAGCATGTGGCACGAGAGCAGCCTCTGCTCCAGAGGGCTTGGCATGGCCCCACTGCTGCCTCTTTCCTGCTGAGGATGCTGTGACAGCTCCCTGTCCTGCTCTGCATGTTAATTAAGCAGGAATGTATTTTCTCTGGGTCCCTCAGCAGCCACCATGTGATTGTGCATGGCAGAGCTGGTAATGAAGATGGTCTCCAAGCTATTAACACCTCAAATTGCTCATCAAGAGCCCAGCAGAAGGGCAGCATGTCAGATATTATTTCTGGGCCACATTAAACATGTTGATATTCTTAAGTGATCAGAATAAACTAATTCAGTCTGACACCAAGGGAATCAGGTATCAAGACTGAGGAAGGTGAGCTCAGTAGAACTGAGGCATCCATACATCCAACCTTGCTGGAGCCCATCAGCAGAGCCTCTCAGCATCCATCAGACACACACATTAATTGTGGCCAGGGGAAGAAAATGGGTTTTTTTCCTACCTGGATTAGACTCTTGTGTGCTTAGATTTTTTTTCCCCCTTCCAACTGTTTGAGCCATTCTTTCTTCTTCACTCTAGTCACTGAAATATCTTCCAGAGAAATCTCTTTCCTGTAGAAGAAGTTAAGTCTTTGGGCTGTATCCTGGCCACTCAGCTTCTCTTCCTGTGGCATTACCATAATCATGGCCTTGGTCAGTGGTGGTTCCACCTTGGAGCCACCTGGTCTTGGCTCTGTCAGACATTGGGGAAGCTTCTGGCAGCTTCTCACAGAAACCACCCTTGTAGGCCTCCCTACTACCAAAACGTTACCATGCAACCCAGTACGTGCCAGCCTCTCACTAATCTGTAATAGTGCTCAGATTTTATGATTTGGCCTGCCACTATGTTTGTGTCAGAGGGGGAGCCTGCAGAGAAATCACAGTGGGAGCTGCATTTCCTGTAATTACATTGCATCCTCACTGCTGGATAAAGTCTGCCTAAAAATGTTGTTGCAACTGCTGGTGTACTTCTATTTTTAGTGTTGCTCTTTTTTTTTGTTTTTAATGACATTTGAAATTAAGTTATTTTCTCCATGGGAGCTCTGGAGGTCTACAGGTATTTTGACAACCCAGAAACATTAAATCAAAATAGTTTAAAAACTGAAGAGGATCTTTAGCCAGGCTGATGTGTAGGCTTGGATTTCTGTTTGCCCCTTTAACCCTTTCATTCCAAATTCAGTTCTGCCTCTGAGAGATGGGTCATTTGTTGTGTTTTGCATTCTCATTGGGAATTGATCCTATTTTCTTTCCTCAGGGTTTGAGCTAACCCATGAAATCGAAGGCAGTCTCATGACTTTTCTGAAAAAGATAAGCTAAACTATTTTTAAGCCATCTTTTCAAAAGTCTTTCTATAGAGAAAAGCCTTCCCTGCAGGGAAGGCAACCCAAGAAAGGAAAGGAAAGAACCCATGTGCCTGGTGTACTGTTTTTTTGCCAGGCACTTTTGAATTAATTTTGTGTAAAACTCTCTTGAAGTGGCCAGTACATCATCAGGCTTCTGATATGGAGGCACCAGGGACAGGGGCATCAAAGTAATGAAGGATGAGCACACATACTGTGCCCTGTGCCCCTGACTGGGATCTTTTTTCCTCACGTGTTTGTTCGTCTGTGGTTTTCCAGTGCCACCTCCTGCTGCCAGCACACAGTACTTTCCTCAATATGTGCTAAAAGCAGGTCCCCTCTGCAGCCTTCTCCCTTTTTATGGACAAATACACAGAATTGTCCCAGCAGCTGCAAGAAGGTAACTATCAATGTCTCCCCCTTGGAGGCAGAGATGCATTTCTTATTTGAGGTGCACTTCTTATTTGAGCATGACGGCAAAGCAGAAATGTTCCTTTAGACCCCTCAGCATGAGGCTGAAACCAAATGAGAAGCAGGGATGGGCAGACAGGGCAGGCACTGCAGAAGTGCCCAGGCACTGCTTCTACTCACTGAATGCTGGTTGCATTTTTTTCTTTTGGTGGAGACTGGTGCAGGAGCTGAGCATTTGGACAGATCCCACTTTCAGTGGCCTCTTGGAAGGCAAACCCATCTGGAGCATTAAGGAGAACCTTGCTGGTGTTCTTCTGCCTGTGCTGCCAAGGGGTGCGTGTAGAGCTGGGGATCAGCCCCAGGAGCTGTGTTCTGGCAGCTGCTTCTGCACAGGTCACTGATCCCGCAGGCACTCTGAGACTTGTGACAAAGAGAGAATGTTTACTCTGGTTTCAGAGGCACAGATGGAGCTGTTTCGGGGTGCATTCAGTGGTGAGGCTGGTGTGACCGTCCTCCTGTCCCTGCAGGACAGACAGCCAGACCCTGGTGCTAAGAAACCACACCCCACTGAGCAAATTAAAAGGCACAACTATATGTTAACAGAGGACCCTAAAAAGAAAGCCTGGAAAGTGTTCCAGGAACCACATATAAGAGACCAGAAAAATTAGTTACATGAACAAGACGTAGTATTTGTGAAAGGAAATCAGGCATACATATGTGGTGGGTGTCATTGTGAGATACAGATATCCTGAAGCATCTTTAGAAGAGGCTGTGATGGAAAAGGTGAGGAAATACCAACACCTTCAAAAACAAATCCACGAACTAACAAACGCAGCCACACATTGTGCTTACAGATTAAAAAACAGTCTCATCTCTAAAAACACCCTCGCTTAGTTTGCAAAGTGGCTCAGGAAGGGCGAGGAGGGCGTTTACAATGACTCAGCCGCAGGGACCCGCTCTGCCACCGCAGCCCCAGAACAGAGCGGGCTGTGCAAAGCTGGGGGGTCCCACACCGCACATGCCGTGCCCCGAACTCTGCCTGCACAGCAAGCCGGGCAGGGCAGGGCAAGACAGAGCATGGCAGGGCAGAGCAGGG